TGTGCAGTGTTATTTAAATAGTTTCCAAACAAGGTATTCGTCGAAGAAGAGCTCGAACGATGAAACACGACAGGCAGGCCGTAACCAAATAGTCCGGTAATTTGGCACTTCCAAGTCCTTTCAGATCACAAGAAAAGTGACAAAAGCCAAATTTTCTGTGCAATGTTATTCAATTACTGTTCTCAAACCAGGATTTCAGTGAAGAAAATCGCGAACGGTGAAACATGACAAGCACGCCGTAACCTTGACACGTTTGGTATGAGCAGTCCTGATGGTACCTAGAAGGTGTCACCGAGCGAAGCTCAATAGGTCACGAAGGTAGGCAAACTATCGCATCAAAATAAAGTCCAGTCGCCTCGCGGTGGGCTTTGTTTCTCCGCCATGTCACTGTTGTAGTGTGTAGTATCAGTCTGAGACTTGCCTACGCTTACGAGATCAGTTTCCACTTTCGTGACATACTACGATTTATTGACGAGAACAACGCTTATTTTTCAGAAATTTCACAGTTGTTCGACAGCTGCGCATCTGAAGGATTCATTTCTCATAGGTAGGGTGACTACACGCCTGTAAGGTACTCTTCATACGAAACCACAGTTTCTACATCTATATGTTCGAAACGCAGACCATACAGTTCTCTATCGTCGAACGTGACTTACGTCACTGGTTCGGGATGACGGGTTGTCCTGGGCAAACGGAAATGGTATTACTACGTAGAACAAGAAATTCAAACAATGTAACCAAAACTGAAGCACGATGTCACTGATCTGGAGCAGACTCAACGTCAAAGTTTCCAAGTGCGTCGTTGGAACGCGCAATTTGCTATATGAAAAGAGGCGGAAACACGGGTATTGCTGATTAGCTGATAATCTGCTAATGTTTAGGTTGTTCTGAGTTAACCAAATCATGTGCGCCGCTGTTTACTGCAGTTTAGCAATAACATATAACTGAGATCATTCCTTGAAACTGGCAGAATAGTATAACCGCCCCGAGTGTTGAGGAATTCTTTTTTCTGTTAGTGTATATCGCCGCTGGTAAAACACCACATTTGATCTGTTTCGCAACAATAGAAATCATGTGTGAGAAGGGTTGGAGGAACCACTCAGGCACTTACATGTCTTAAAAACCGCAATGGGAACCATGACTCAAGGATACGAAATATTTCCCAGGAGCAAACTCATGCCGAACGCCGGCATTACAAAGTCAATAGGCGAACGAAACCTCGGTGAGGATGCCAATGTGCACTGCGCGCACACTCATCCCGGTTCGAATCGCTACATCCATCAAACGCGGACCTTTCAATATTTCCCTCAGTGAGCATGCGACACCCCGAACTACATTGCGGTCCACACACTCTCCACGTCCCTCCGGTTTCACTGCCCAACTTCCATGCCAGTTGATCATAGACAACGGTATTTGTGAGCGAATTCATGTCATTATTCCCAAGGGCCAATTCATTCGCACTAATTCACGTGAGTGCCTAGGACAGCTCAGCGATGAAATGGGCGGACACACCACGCAATCATATTTCACGTATAAGTGGAAATGCTTGAAATGTCAAGTGCCAACCACCCTGATCACTCGTGATTGCTAAGCCCAGATGGCACCACGTGAGTTTTGCGAGTATACCCCCTAGCATGTGTGTAGCTTCAGTGTAGCCAATCATGCCTAAATACGAGTCTCGAGCGCGACTGGGTACCCACCAAATCGCAAGCCAGCTGCGCCACTCCCAAACTTCTCCAGTAACTCATGTCGTAAACTAGTCTGATATGCCATTGGTCGAGTTGGGATTGGTCACTCAACGAGGGGCGCGCTTTGGTGCGTTCGCGCCAGGTGGATGATATGTGATTGCGTTAAGGAGGATTCTGAAAAGTGTATGGACGAAACCTGTTTCCGTAAGGCTAAGTTTGAAAGCGTTATGGATGCAATTAACTGAGAAAAGGTGTAGACCTTCTATTGTTCCTTGTGTATAGATGACTTGGCTCCTCTTTGCAGACGAGGTAAATGGAAATACGCTATCAAAAAGTTTTTGCACTGTAGCACGGTGGTCGTCCTTGTGGGACTTGCTTCGCAATGCCAAAATATGTCAACTGTTATTCTCCAGCAGCGAAGGGCTTACAGTGCAAACTACTGCCGGTATCTTGACGTCACGGTGCGATGATGAAGCAAGTGACCTGGGTATCATTTTGACGAATGGCTTTAGACCCTCAGCACAGTGTCAGCATGCCACCAACAAGCGCGGTAGGAACTGTTCCGTCTCACGTGACCGGTGTACAGCGCTAACGCTTTCCTCTCCTCGTATTAGGCGGTGGTACGTCAACACTTAGAATACCGTGTGCAGGCTTGGGCTCCATATCTCCGTAAGGATGCTGCTTGCATAGAAATAGTCCAAAATTTTGCGACTAAGATGATTGATGGCCAACCTCGGAAGTCATTTGATAATGCCTTAGGAGCCTAGGGTTGTTATCCATGGAACCGCGAAGAATGAGAAGCGACCGGACAGAATGTTCAAGATTATGACGAGTCTCAGAGGTGTCAGGCCTTCCAATCTTTTTGAACCAGCTGCATCCGACCATCTATGAAAGTATGAAATTAAGCCTAAGCATCACAGACTTAGGCTAGAAAACAGGCCAAATTTTTGCGAATCATATAGTTCATAGTTGGAACAAGCTTCCTTCCTTAATGAAATGTACCACTGTATAAGCCTTCAAAAAGGCTTTTATAAGTGTTGGTCGGGTCTATTTCCGGAATTGTTGACTACGTTGACGATTTAGTAGTATCTAGTATACTGAACTGTTTGAGCTAGCCGGGTCAGATCACCTGCGACGACACCAGCTGAAGCTCAAGCATCACAGATCTAGGCTGGATATCAGGGTGATATTCTTTGTGAATCGTGTGGTCACTAGCTGAAATAAGCTGCCTCCAGCATTACTAGAATGCAACACCGTATAGGCCTTTGAAAGAGGTTTAAATAGGTGTCGCCCTGAACTTTTTCAAGAATTATTGTAATTTTATTACATCATGTCGCTGTAACTTCGTACTGCATGACAGTACAGAGAATGCTTCGGTTTTTGCTTCAATATTTTGCAGAAGCCGCGAAAGTTAATCAAACGTCGAAGTACCGGTGGTCTTGTTTGCTTACCGGTGCAAAAGCAGGACACTCGTTAGGCGGAAGTCTGTATCGTCCTTAAAAGCTGACTTGACCTGATTGTCACAGACCTCGGAGACCATGATCCAATAAAGAATAGACGTTTCTTTTGCTCTTGCTTCGTTTCGTTTGCAGTGGCAAGGGAAAAGACTCAAGAGTAGAAGTACCGACGGCCCTGGTTTGCTTGCCGCTACAAGAAGCAGGACGCTTGTTAGACGGGAGCCTATTTCGTCCTTGGAACCTAACCTGACCTGACCTAACTTGCATGCTTGAGTGAAGGTTAGAGTGCCTTGAGTGACTAACTTGTACTCCAAGCCTTTCTAGTGCGACACACTTCAGCCACATAGCGGCCGCTTAGAAAATGATCCTGGACGCAGTCTTTAAATAGCCCGTGAATGTTGTGACTTGGTTACAGCGGCCTCCCTTGCTCATCTAAAATCAATTTCCATTTCATCATACACGTGTACTTAAGATTTCATAGTACAGTAAACTTTTTGGGTGACATACTTGCAACTAAAATGTGTCGCACCGGAACGGCAGGGCGCATAAATCGGACTCTCAGCAGCAGTCACTTGTGCGGACAGGGTGTGCAATCATATTAAATAGATGAGATTTGTGGGTCAAGACCAGTAAATTGATGGTGTAGTACAGCATTTAATGTCATGGTTAGGCATATGCTGCCAGTTGTTTTCTATTTTCCCAATATTTATACCAGTGACCGAAAACAGTCAACTGAGAAGGATGGACGTCCACATAAACCGACAGAAGATTCTTCGTGCGTCAGCTATAGCTCGAGCACCACAGGTGTGAATTTAGAGGACGATTGACAGTGGTTTCTTGCGAATATCAAAAGCAGTGCGTTAAGCAATCCCACAACGGCGATCATTCACTTGGGTACTGATAATTTTAACGAGCTCAAGTTCAAGTGGGACCGGAACAGTAGGAGAACCCCGTGATTATTCCACCTTGTAAAGCGTCGTTGATCCCTGCGTGAAATCTGTGAGGCGATCTGCAAGGAGAAGCCAAATCTATACATAAAATACGCTCTAGGTCAACCAAACAATGCCCACGTGCCCTGCACCAGCAGTCCCCGCTGTGCCGGCCACGTGAAATGAAGTAAAAGTGGAAGAACAAAAACAAGGCAAGCTGGAGCAATGCGTGTAACAATTTTGGAGTGCAACTATGATGTTAAATAGGTGTAGACATCAACAGATAACAGCATAGATAAAATTAGAAGACCAAGGGCGTCAAGTCGAGGCTTGAACCCTTTCACAGTTGGCGCCAACACTAACTCTGCGGGCAGCGAATTCCAAGAGTCTATAACCCTGAGTAATAGTTGAGAATCAGTCCCAACCCAGTCCGAACGCGGTTTGCATAACTACAGGGGAAGGCCACGAAGAGTTGGCACCCGAGTAGGATGGAGAAGTCCGGATAAATCAGGGCCGAGCTGACCTGTTATTAAGCGATAGGTGAAGATCAGGTCACCGCAAAATCGCCTGTAACGCATCGGAGACATTTCCAACTTGATTAAGCTCTCAGGGTAAGACATTTTTAATTGGAACACCATTTCCGTCCCAGACCGTAAAACTCATTCAACTGTCATTTTATCCCGGACTAGGCAGGGCGGACAAACCTGTACGCACTATTCTAAATGTGACCTAACAAAGTCTGCAAACGACATTGCGAACATTTTGGTTGTCATGATCCCGAATGATTTTCGGATCATTCACAACATGCCAAAACCTTTGCGAGCAATTGTCATCCATTGTTCAACAGAATGACCGGATCAATCAACTGGTATCTTAACAGTGTTATAGCATAAGTTGGACTGCAATAATAATGATGATGCACTAACTTTCACAACACCGCGTGGGATGGCTCATCATACCGTAACACCAAAATAAGCAGCAAAATCTGGTGAGCTTCAAGTTCGCGGGTTTTGTGAGGGAGGAATACGGATGGGGATGAATATTAAGGAAGAACCACGGTTTGTTTTAGGGAGATTCCTCTTATCCTTAATTGAAATTCCTGAATACGAAATGTCTTAGGAGGATAATGATAATCTCGGAGTCATATGTGATGTTAGAACTAAGCGTGTGCTTGTTTATTATTTCTTCATCCTTGCTTTGCACTAGCTTCAACACTGCAAAGGACCTATGATATATAACAGAATAACGGTAGCTCCACTAAGCACAATATACTGCGGTTGCATATGTCAGAGATAATACCAAATTTGAAATATCTGAGTGACATCCGCTGCTAGATTAAAACACTGAATCAACATTTCAAATTTTCGCCACACGCGAACTTGTCCCTCCCCAAAACGTTAAGGTCAATGATTTGTCTCAGCGCCTTTTATGTCCAGTTCCCTGTTATCGCACAAATTTGCTAGGTCATTTTCGAGGCTAGTAATATGTTGAAGATTAACTTTTACCAAACATGTATAGCGTCACATGTCTTGGTCGGTGAGTCGTTTGGAAAAATATTGCGATGAGATGAACAATGCTGTGGCAAGCTCAAAGATGTGGCAGTGCCTGCCTGTTGCATTTCACACCATATATTCTGTCTCCCCGAAATAATTATTGTATAAAACATTAGTTTTACTCCAAGGATACTCTACCCCTTTAGTGAGTAGTGTTGCTTCTCTGTAAAAAAAAATTCCCCTATTAAAATGCGATCCGCAACAGATCCAGCAAGACTAGCAATGTGCCATAAAAGCGTGGCCCACAAGTTAATCTTTAGGTCAACATCATGGAGGAGACGCTATGTTCATTGGATGACGATGCAGTTTGCGATTTTTAATGGCCTGTGTAATTGTAAGACATAAACACCTGCTCGATATCGGGTTAAGCAAATTGCTACAACTGAATGCACTCGCCTAGCCGACAGACCGGGATTAGGATGTCACAGTTGTTAAAATAAGAACGTTGACTTCCTTTGTGCATAGATCCCAAGCCAATGTATGTAGGTTTCAGGAGAGAACTTTTTACGCTGCCAACTCAAGAAGATTCATGCAGTGTTCTGCTACAACAAAGTAAGGTTCCGAGGTGGCTCCATCATCAGTATTCTGGCACGTGGCCACAAACGAAGTATACAGTTTCGTGATTACGTTCGCCACACACGTCAAGCGTTATCAATGGCTATATTTGCAGTTTGGTTTGAAGGCAAGTGAAAATTCTCAGGATAGTTTATTGCAAGCTTTTCACGATCTCGATTGTATGAACTGTATGGTAGACGCCGAGCTGATTTGCAGGTCTACCGACTAAGAACATGACATTAGGCTGCACCACCTGTTGCATCGTTGCGTGCAAAAGAACAGAGGACCCATACTTAAGACCTTTTAGCCTAAATTCCAGGATGTGCTTTTTTAATTACCCGTCCTGTTATGATAGTGAACGAGGTCGTTCCCGAAAAGTTCTAGGCCGTTCAAGTGCTACAACTTACAAGAGGGCTGTTAGGCGTTTAACCGTCATGGTGCATTCTTTAAGCAAAATCGACCCATAAGTAGTTAATGCATGACACTCATACGGGGCTAGCTAAAAATGTTTACAGGTTTACAAAAGAGAAGGGTACCGCTTGTACGACCAACAAGCACCGCACCAGCTGCGCAGCAATCAGTGGAGTGTTACGGGTCTGTCCCTGCCAAGCAGCATATGACAAGGGGACGCATTTGTGCACCGCTGACCGTTCCTTACTAAATATCCTGGGAGAATTATCTTAAGCAGCTGAGGGTGGTTTAGTTAATGTTACTCTGTATGATCAACTAGACATAAGCATCGTGTGTCCCCCTGTGTGAAGATTTTTCTCTGCGATCTACTTGTCCCATTGGGGCCATTTCCAACTCACTTCCACTGTGTCCCAAACGATCATCCTATTCATCAACAACTTATGTGCACCCTATCGCCAACCAATTGTATGGTCTTCACGCGCCTATTCCGCCCTAAATCAGGACGAAAGTTTTGCCACTAACCTTGATGTTAAAAGTAATTGCTATACCCCTTGCACTAATATTGGGATACTACTATCCAAAGCTGCTTTTGAAGGTAGAGTGAGAGGGCAGCTAGAGCGGAGAAGGTACCGGACTCTAGCAGGTTGTTAAACCCTTTGGTCTTCTCTAGCAAACGCTCAAGGTTGCAGAACGGCGCTACGATTATATCAAAAGGAATTTCTTGCTGTTGTCTGCGCGGCTGAACAGTTCAACCATTAGCCTTTTGTGGGAAGGCGTACCGTGTATACTGACCAGAAATCGCGCGTAATAATAGCCAGGGAATTTTCGAACGGTGTCCCCCTACGCCTAAAACGTTTGATTATCAGGCTCCATAAATAGTACATGGACAGGTTGTACACACAGGATAAGCAGCCGCTTATTGCACACTTCAGCAAAAGCTCATCTTCTGCTAGTCAGCAATCACCAGGAATGGATCCAGGCAGTACATCTGACACAACAGCTGGCGGTATCGACAGCTCGCCTGGAGGAAATATGGCGTCACTCGAAAGCCGACGTGACTTACGCGGCGTTACGTGGATTAAATTAAGGGGGTGCTAGACATTAGAAAACTAGCTTCATTCTATAACTTTCCGGTTGAATCCAAAGGTGTATGATAGTATTGTTTTCAACGAAAGTCGCTTTTTCTTTATGCTATCGCAACGTAGATTGTTACCGGAATACACTTTAAGCCTATTGCTTCTGAACACTAGCTTACATAGAGTACGGGAATGGATGTTCTGGCCACCCGGATGACGAGTCCAATACCTAACTTGTGTTGTGTGGGCTGGTAAGACAACAGTATTTGAAGCCATAGAAAAAAAGTGGAATGAATGAGAAGCGATAAATTCTTCCATGTAAATCTATAGAGTTATATGGTCATATATTACCAATAATATTTTATTTCGATTTAAACTTTTTATATTTTTAGTTTCTATTTTAACGCTCACCACTTCAAGATAATGCATACTCTATTTTAACCAAATTTTATGTAATTTTATTGCTAGTTTGTTTATCTACATAACTGGTCATTACTTTTCTGCTACTGTTATTTCAAAGCACACAAGCCGAAAAATACTTTCTCCCCTATTTCATGTGATGGATGCTCCCAGCACGACCTGGGGTAAAGCTTTCTGCCTGCCTGTTTTATCAATTCAAGTCAGGGAAGTAACCGGATTGCTTAAGGCGCCACGTCCCTCATGGCAGCAGATGGCGATAGACAAATTATTGGTCCGGGTGCAAGTAAGCATTGCCTTGGAAATCTACTATTATGTCGAGTAATCGATTTCGAACGTTCCGGATTGTTCTAGTTCTGCACGTGATTAAAACCCACCTGACACCTCGTCAAAAGATATGGGGAGCCACTAACCTTTGTAGCTGACCTTCCGATTCTGGAAGTCGAAGGTCAGTAAGGAACCTATAACTACAGACATTGACCGTAGTAGTCGCACAGCGGTCGTTGGCGGCGATTAATACGTTATTTTGTCAAGGTCCTTGGCGTTATGCTTTCTCCTTCGGTTGGGCTAGAAGTTTGTGGAGCAGTAAATGGTTATTTTTGGAATTGCGTCTGGTGAAAAGATTATGACCAATAGCGCCAGATAAAATTGGAAATGTGGGTAGTTTTCTGCAGAACAATTTTAAAATCTGCCTTTCCAACAGCAAGCTCAAATGAAGACACAAGTGAAAATGATTGAAAATCTGACAAAATGCTTGAGTTTTCAAACAACAGGAGCAGCGATGCTGGAAATGCAGACGAATTCTGTTGATCTTCTCATGCACGCAAAACTGAATTAAATTATGACGCCGATTCTGGAAGCACCTTCTTAACGTTGTTCAGGCGCTGGGAAGACATGTTCCGGACGGACTACATTCGTCAGTAAGACTCCCGGCATTTGCGATTGCTACTACGCAAGCTCCGAATAAGTGAATATTCAAGGTTCATATAGCACATTTTGCAAAAAGAGCAGAAGGATCTGACTTTTGACGAAGTAGTGTCGCAGCAGAAGGAAATTTTTGGTGAGTCGGTATCCTTGTTTAGTATTCGCTATCAATGCCTGAAAATTGTCAAGCAGGAATCTGACGACTTTGGGGGTCTTAGCAGACATGATTAACCGTGAGTGTGAACTTTTCAAACTGCGCTCTTTAATGAACGATCCGTTTAGGTGTCTCATTTTCGTCAGCGCTCTGCAATGGCCCCGTGATGCTGAGATCCGCGCGGGACTTTTAGCTAAGCTGGAGTAAGTTCCTGATCTGACACTGTAGATCTTCGTAAGCGAATGCAAACTGCTGATCACCCTAAAACATGACACTGCTACGGTCGAAAGCAATAGTCTCGTACCACCAGATACCGTGCAACTCGTGGAAGTGGCCAGGATCGGCAACCGAAACAAACCATTCAAGAGGCTAACGAACAAAGCGCCCAATGCATGCTGGTCATGCGGCAACTGGCATTTCACGCGCTTTTGTCCTTTCAAACATCATATTTGTCAAACGTGCCATAAGCTTGGACATAAAGGGGAATGCTGCAGTCAGGTCCAGTCGAAGAAAGTGTAGTCTTATTAAAAGGGGAACTCCAGAAAGGATGGCGTTGTGTCTCTGTCCATAGTTGCCGCATTCCAAAACGAGTGTAAATCGTGACGACAACTTATCAGTGTGTTGCTCAATGGGATCCCAACGAAACTGTAACTTGACACGGCCTCGGACATTACGATTATTTCCAGGAGCACCCGGAATCACATAAAGAGGCTGAAGATGGTCGAGTCTCCGGAAGTTGCACATAATGCATCCGGCGGTGTGTTAAACTTAGTGGGCGATCTCAATCGCAAGGTTGCTTTCCGAGGGGTGGAAAGTCGAGAACATGCTACATTATAGACCGGCCGAAGTTGATTCTTCTTGGCCTCGACTGGATTGAAAAGTTGAAACTCCTCGATGTTCCCTTGAAGCAGATCTTCAACCG